CCCCCGCCGCAGGCCGGCGCGGCTGCCCGACCCCCACTTCCAAGCCAAGCGCGACGAGCTGGCCGCCGTCTGCGAACACAGGCTCGCGCCGCCCCGCGGCGCGCCCCGCGACGCGCGCGACCGCGCCCCCGGCCACGGCCACGGCGCCCCCGACGGCGGGGCGCACGCGCGCGCGGCGGGCACCCCGGCGGCGTGGTGCCTTGAGGAGTTGGTGGACGTGGCAGAGGCGTCTGTGGCGGACGATTTCGAGGGCGTCGGCTGGCGGGTGCACGGGCTCGAGGTCACGCCGTCTGGGCGCGTCCTGGCCGCGCGGCAGGTGGGGGTTTCGGGGTTTGGGTTTCGGGGTTTAAGGAACGCGTGTGTGTAGCCCAGCTGCTGGCGGCGCGCCGCGCAGCGCGCGGGGGTCGGGGCCCAGGGGAGGAGCTCCTGTGCTGCAGTCGCCGGCGCCATCACCAATGGGGCGAAAGACGGAGCTGCTCGGGGGGGCGTTGGCTGCGTGCTGGCGGGTGCGCTTTGGCTTTGTGCCGCAACGGAGCGCCGGCCCTGCAGACTTGACCGTGCGTCCGCTTCCCAGACATGTGCAAGCGCGGCGCTCAAACCACAAATGGCCAGCGCCCGGCCGCACCCGCCTGCCCCCTTGCCTCAGGAGGACATGTGGGAGTTTCGCCTCATGGGACTGCACCCGTGGTCGCCCGATACCCACCGCCACCACCACCCCACCTTCCGCGCGGCTGCGCGCCTGCTCCTGCTCGCCGCACACGGCGGGGCGGGCGGCGGCGGCGGCGGGAGCGAGGGGCGGGGCGAGGGGCAGGCGGGCGGCTGCCCCCTGGCGCGGCTGCCTGCACCCGTGCTGGAGGGCGTACTGCGCGCGGCGGCGCAGCCGCTGAGTGCGTGGGCGCGCGGGGAAACTTGGCGCGATTCGACGTTGGTGGGCGGCTACGGCGGGCGGTCGTGGTGGGAGATGCCGTCTGGGGTGCTGCACTCGCAGGACGAGCAGCCGCGGGGGATGCCGGTGTGAAAGTTGGTCCCTTGGACTCGTGGGGGTGCAGACTTCTAGGATGACTTCTAGGATGACAAAGGGTGGCACTTGGCATATATAAACTGCACGGCCTCCGAGGAGCCAGCACATGCAGTATTGCCTGCCAACGGGCAGCACCGAGGACGGGGACGTGGCAACACGAGCAGCGCTCGAGTGGGCATGCAGCTGACCAGGCCGCAACATCACCGGGACCATTTGACATGCGTGGGGAGACTTCACTCAGTTCGTGCACATTGTTTGGAAGTGTTCACAGCCAAGGCATGCGCGATCGAACGCGTTGGCAGCAAGCAGTGGAGGACCCGAGACACCACTTCTCAACGCAACCCTGACCTGGAACGCACTTGCTCTGTTTAAAAGGTAAGACTTTATCGTCACAAAGCCGCGTCCAGCCGGGGTAGAATCGCGTCAGCGCTGCGGGCTTGCAGTGGCCGAGTCGCTGTGGCTTCCCTGTGCTCTGTGAAGCGTGTGTGACTTTTGCAAGCATTTGAGAGTGCTCTTTTCATCTCCTAGGACCTACAGGTGAGTTGACAGGCGAGGCTGTGAGGCCATCGTGGCGATGGCGCAGCCTTACGCCTCATATGGCTACGGCCAGCCCACGCCAGAGCAGGCAGCCTACTATGGTAGCTACGCTGGCTACGGTTATGGTGGCGACGACCCTGCGTACGCGTACGCGCAACACCAGCAGCAGCAGCAACCCAGCGCCGCGGCCTACGACCCCCATGCCTACGCCCAGTGGTATGCGCAACAACAACAGCAGCAGCAGGCCCCGCCACCACAGCCGCCTGCTCAGCACGCGCCGCTGCCTGGAGAGCCTCCCTTGCCGCCGGATCCGGCACCCGGAGCTGCGGCAGCGCCGCTGTCTGCCGGCCAGCCAGCGGCGACTTCTGGAGCGTATGATACCTACTATGCAGTGCAGCAGCAGCAGCAGCAGCAGCAACAGCAGCAAAAGCAGCAGGCCGGGGCGTACTCTTATGGGGGATACCCTGGGTATGGTGCATGGCCGCAGCAGGGGCAGCAGCAGCACCAGCCACAAGCGCCGGCATCGGCAACGCCGCAGCCGCAGCCGGCCCCGTCGACGCCTGCGGCGGCACCCCAGCAGCAGCAGCAGCCGCAGCCGCAGCAGCAGCAGCACCAGCACCAGCAGCGGCAGCAAGCGTCCTACCTGACGTCTGACGTCAACTACTCAGCCGTCCCCCCGCCCGCCGCGCTCGCGCCGCGCCCGCGGCCCATGCCGCCCTCCGCCGCGCGGCCGCCGGCCGCCTGGGGCGCCGCGCCCGCGCCTGCGCCTGCGGCCTCCCCCGCACCCTCCCCTGCGGCCGTGGCTACACCGGCGTACACGCCCGTCGCCCAGGCCGCAGCCGCCGCCGCCTCTATCAGAGATGATGCGATCGCCAAGCTGCGCGCCAACGCGATGGCGAAGGCCGCCGAGCTGTCAGC